TATAGAATAAAAGACTCACTTCTTTTAAAGAACCAGACAAAGTCTTGAGTGCAACGATTCTGGATGCTTCACGCGATTTTTTATAGGAATAGTTGTCATCATCAATTTTATTTTCTTCAATTTTTCGCATACCATCCAACCAGGTTGCTGAATATACAGAGCCGAATCCTCCTTTGCCAATTTCTTTAATATCAGATAATCTATCAAATGGAATCCATTCGATTGCATTTTCATATGCATAGGTTCTAAGTTGGAACTTCTTTATATAATCATCAATTTCTTTATTTCTACTTGTCCACCTTGTTGTTTCTAAGTCAGGGTCACATGATAAACACCACGCTTTATTCGTGTTATCTTCATTACAATGCGCACATTTTCCATATTTAGAGTCACTTTTATAAACACAATATATAATATATAATATATAATATGTATAATGATATTTTAAACCTTATACCAAATGTAAATAATTTTTACTCACCGACTAAATTAATGCGGATGAAATGATTTGAAGGATATTACATAATAGTAATTGTAAATAAGTATTTATGTTCTTGATTTGTGAACTTGCTTTGCTGTTTTTAATTTTAATGTTTTTTGTACTCACGGGCTAAATTAACGTGAATAATTTTTTAATATTTGAGCTCAAAATTAATTAACGTGTAAAATTTTTTATACTTACTCTCTAATAATTAAATTGAATAATTAAAATTGTTAAAATGTTTTCAATTTTTAAAATAATAAAATTAAAAAATTAAAACTTACTTTTTAATCCATTCCAAATATTTATCGCTATTTTTTTTCACGCCAATTCCGTAGTAATAACACCAAGTAGTTTTCCAAATTCCATTTAAATTTCCCACCTCAGCCGCTTTCAAATAATTGTCAAATGCTTTTTGCTTGTTTTTTTCGACTCCAATTCCCAAATGATAACAATATCCAACTTGATAAATTCCGTTTGGATTATTCAGGTCTGCGGATTTTTGGTAATAGCGGAATGCTTCTTTTTCATTCTTTTCAACATCAATTCCAAATTCGTAACAATAACCAGGCCAATAAATTCTGTCTGGTTCGTTTGCATCTGCCGATTTTTTACACTCATCGAAATTTAGTTGTTTAAAATCGTTAATAATTTGTTCCATTTCGATTTAACAAAAAAACATAAAAAAAAATGGAAGCAAACGTATCAACAATTTTTATTTGCAGCGTCGGCAGTTGTACAATCTTCTAAAATTGTACTGGCGCACTTTTGCACAGAATTCGTCTTACAGTTAAAAGAATAACCGCGCATTTTGGCAATATTTCATGCATGTACACGCCGTATAATATGCAAAAAAAATTATGTAGTACAAATTGCACTACTAATAAAAAAAATTATTGCATGCCTTCAATAGAAAACAGTCATTGCATGCCATCAATAGAAAACAGTCATTGCATGCAATCAATAGAAAACAGTCATTGCATGCCGTCAATAACAATTAACACAACTTTTTTTAATTATATTATGCTTTATATTATTTCAAATTATGAATTGTTTTACCAAGCACAATATAAGTGAAGATCATATGGTCGCTGAGTGTTAATGATGGCAGAAAATTTAATATTCGAACATGAAACTTCATCACAACTGCATCTTGATGCTTGCAAGATGCACCGTTTATACCCATAGGACATGTGCATGTTCCGATCTCACTATTCACAATATAAAAAAGGTTATTTTGACTTGTGCTTAATATTAAAAATCCTTTTTCTTTACTCATTTGTTGAATAAAATTCATATCCAAGTGCTCTCAGCCAGAACACAAAAATCATTTGGCAACCTGAAAATGATCAGAACATTTTTAGTCACAGTTAAGTAATCGTTGATGATAAAAATTTTCTATATTTAATATTATAAATTGGAATACTTGAACCAGATTATAGACTTAAGTTCTCATGAAGACAATGTCTTTCAGTATTCCAAATCTGCATTCAACATAATTGTTAGTATTATTTTCCTGAATAAGTAGGTTTGTACGAAAAGCTAAGGCCCAAAATTGGTGACAGTTTCACAAAAGTTCTAAGTATCTTTGTAGTAATAGATATGAATTATAAAAATCCTGCCTAAATTCACAATAGTATTGATTCATTTGTATAAAATTAGGTGTATAAAGGATTATTCTCATTTTATTCATAATAGATAAGTTCTAACATATTATGTTCAGCACTTGAATTATCTGTAAGTATAACTGCTGGTCCTACTTGGGGTCCACGTCTATAAAAGGCATATAGTGAAAGAATTGTTTTTAATAAATTAAACTATAAAGAATTTATTTTAGTTAAATAAGATTAATTATTTAAAAACAGACAGTATATAATATATCAATTACCACCTTTTCTAAAGTAATTTCAGATTTGTCTGAAGTTAAAATCAATCCAAAAGGAAGTGCACCAATAGTACAGCTCTTATATATTAAAGTAATTGAAATGTTTAGTGAGTCAAATAATGCGAATGAATCTACATAACATAATTTGCCAGCTTGTTTAATCTTCTCATATACTTGGCACATTAATCTGGTTATAATACAAAGAATAAAAGCAGTTCCAGTATATATATTATATTTCTGTAATATAGCTTGACTATTTCCTGAATTGTTAAAATCTTTAACTAATTCTGTTCAACAATTAAACATTTCTACACCATTGCAAGCTCCTAATACAGTTTTATGATATTAATAATATAATCTAGCTACATAATTATAATTAGGATTGCTAGATCGGTCTGCAAGCATTCAAGTAATTCATTGTCATTTGATATAGATGAAGTTCATCTTCATAAATATAAAGTGCTGATGCTGGGGAATAACTATCATTGAATAATTTTAAGTATTTTTCTTACACATCATTATTTACATGTTGATAACTTAAATGATTCTGCAGATTCTATAATATGATTATGTGTAAATCTAATATTTATTTCTAATAGATGATTTTGTTCAAAATGCCATCTTTCCAATTTAAGGTGAATGTTTGCATCACAGTTTATGTTTCATACTCAGGTAGACTGGGGATTCTTAGTTTCACAATTACCTTGTTTTTTTTAACTGTATTACTGTGAATACAATATCATTTTTTTCAGAAGAGTACTCGATTTCTCTTTACAGAATAATTTTTGGTTTGTAGCATTACTGTCTTTAAATATAATTCAAAGGCTTGAAACCATTTTTGCACTTTTTCTTTATTATTGATGTTTACAAATCTATCTAATTCCAATTGCAATATTTCAAAGTTTTTAGCAGTTTTATACAATAGCAATTCCTTTAAGTTTTTTATTATATATGTGTATTGTTGAGAAAGTACAGGTTTTAATGGTTCTGGTAAAGCATTCCAGGTAAGTGTCTAAAATGAATTTAGGTTTTTAAAAAAACAATTTTAAAAAATAATTTAAAAAATATACATTTAATAAAAAGAATTTTTTTTTAAAAAAATAATATTTTTTAAAAAAAGTTATTTTTTTAAAAAAAAAGTATCTATATATTTATTTATTTATTGTTTTATTTTTTAAAAAAAAGACCCATTCAGAAAAAGATTCATATGGAATTAATTATTTTGTTAAAAACAATAAATCGTAATTTTTGCTAATTCCTTATATGCACCATTTTATGAATCCTTATACGAATAACAATAATAAAAGTATGCAATGTTACGATGAGTGTAGGTCAATGTACCGATTTGGTTAATTGTTAAACGAAAAAGAAGTTACTTAAAAAGAAAATTATCCTTTTATATTTCGATTTGAACCTAATTTTAATTACGTACGCAGTACGTAAAGTAATTCAAGTTTGCATAATTAATTAAAGTCATTTGTGAATTTTAATGTTATCGTAATTAGATTAGACCGGAGATAGTGATCGGACTGATCGGTCCTACTGTGGCTTGTACGCCACCAACCTGGCACACATTCAAGAATTGCAACGAAATGTACACGTGATCTAAGGTCCTCTAATTTAGCAATAATTATCGCTCTGTCACTTCGTTGACAGGCTTCCCATAAAGTAACATATTTATGGAAATGTAACGTTTCACTAACAAAAAATCATTGTAAACCCATTTCTAGCTCTATATTCACTGTGCAAAAATAATCAATAATAATCATAAACCCTAAGAAGTCATTTAGAAGCGGATGTTTTTACCATTTATTGATAATGCTAGTTTTATTAACCATATGTAAGTTCTAAATGCTGGATTGTGGCGTTACATGTAAAATTTAACTTAAAGAATTTTATGCATGCAATTATAATAACACTAAGCTTCAGATTTATGTAATCTGAACATCATAGAGTTAAAACATTAGTAACTTTAGATTAAGTAGTAGGTCGATAATATGTATGGATATATGAGTATTATCGTTTCATTTATTATATGGCTAAAGTTCGTGTTACATCTCTAATAAAGGTCATGATAAGGTTGAATTACTCTAATTATTTTTCAAAATATAACGGTAATAAATGTGGCAGATTAAAATGAAATGAGGTATAATGTAAAATAGACAAGCCACCGAAAAATACAAATTTTTTGGATGCATTTTTTTAGCATTTTTTTAGGGTTATGGTTAGGGTTTAGAAGCAGATTTTATAATAATCAAATATAAGTGGGTTTTAGAGGGTCAAATAGAAACTCTTCATTTCATTTTAATCCGATTTCATTATGATCTGCGACATTAAATAAAGTTTTGCTAATAATTTATTCTCATATTTAATTTTTTGATCAATTTAAGCATATGTTTTAAATGTGCCAACTGTTTGCGTGTATTTATTAGTTTGTAAGCTGGCTATACCGAAATTAAATAATAAATTTTTATATACTGCATCTAGAGTATCCAGATCCGTGCAATTTAAAATGTATTTTTATGCGATATAAGAAATTCTGACTATGCAATATCAATACAAATAAAAAATTGGGTAAACTACCCATTAATTATGATGTTTAATAAAATAAAAATTTTGGTTACAGCATTTTGTTTACATATCATCAACCTCTAATTCTGGGACTACCCCAATGTTTTCCCAATTTAAGCATTCTAGAAATTTTTTATCTAAATCTCTAGTCTCACAATTAGGGTTAATTGCAATAGCTTTAATAGCTTTACTCTCTACTTCATTTTGAGTGTTTTCATTAATTGTACGTTCCTTAATAAAATCGCAAGAACGATTTATTGAGAACTGGGAAATTTTATCAGGAATCATCTAATTACAAATAAATGTAAATATATATGAACATTTTGAAAACCTGGAATTGATTGAAGTCAAATTAACTCACTTTTTGAAAACAATGACATGTTCCATCATAAACTT